TTAATCGAGTTGTATCCTTTCATTTGTATATATTGGGAACATATGACAGCATCATTTTTGTTGTGACTCCCCGAAGAATCGTAACACCCTTTGTTTATGCGAGTTCCCGAATCCAGCCTTTTTCAAAGGACGGATTCCCCGCCGTCCCTTTGGTTTGGCGAGGCCCAAGGGGGTACAGAAGGGCAGATTCCAAATGTTATCCAACCACCTTGGCCATTGGCGAGATGCGTGCAATTCCACAAACACGGTCTATCGGCGCAGCGTGGAATGAAGGAAAGCAAGAGGGTTTGGTCTGGTCGGGTTACGGTCAAAAGAAATCTCGAACAGGATTCGCGGGAGGAGGAGGCAGGCGTGCGCTTCAACTGTACACCCTGTTTTGCGCCACACTGAAATTCGCCATATTGACAGGCCGGTTGTACTGACATCAATGCGTCCAAATTGGTCCCAGAACATACCGTATAAGCACTTTTGCCGCACGAAACCAAACTCAAAAGCACGTTTATTTTCATAAACCGTTGTCTACCGTTCTCCTGAAGTGCATTTCGGTTGCAAGCACCAGCCCGCTGAATCCAAGCACACGTGCGCACTGTAACCGGGGCTCCCGACTGTTCAAACATCGAGAAACAGGGTGTACAACTCCTCTGAAGTTCTTGATGTGGAAATTCGCCCCGCCATCTTCCAAGCTGAGGACTTGCTGCCAGCTGTCGCATATAATCAGCGTGATGAGACACACACCTACCCACTTGCCACCCTTCTTGGATCATCTACAGTGAGAAATCTCTGCACGCGAGGAGGAAAACGACGAGCATAGATTACTGTGCATCAACATGCTCGCCAGCAGCATTGTACCCTCGGCTGCTTTGGCTCGTTTGCTGAGTGGTCCTGTCATCAAATCTCCACGATTTTTTTACCAACACAGACCCGATTTTCTCGACCATATTTTCCCACACAGAATCCCCTTCATGCGCTCTCCAGATCGAACAAAGCTTGTAGTTTTTTATGGCTCTTGTAAAGAGAGAATCATTCTTTCCTTGTTCCGGGACAACAGCATCTGTCCAAATTCTTCCCAAAAGTGTACACCTTCCCAGTGCTGGATTGGGCAGATGGGATGGGGGGGAGAGGGAAGAGGGGGTACAGGCAGAGTTGGCAGAACCGGAACTGAGAAGCGTATCATCCTTCACCACCGCTCCTTGATGCCTCCTCAGCATGCTGAGATCACACTGACCACGTATTGATATGTCCCCCAATGCCCCCCTCAGCTTTGAAAGGCCGTCATCTCATCAGTTCCAAGTTTTTCTCTAACTAGTAGTACAAGTAAAGTTCTGCACCTTTTCGAGCCCATCTTATTGTTAGTAGAGAAAGACAGGCTCTTCAAACATAAAATGAGTACCTAAACTTTTCGAGCGAGTCGCAGCGTCGATTTGTTGGGTTGTATTGAAGTTTGCTGTGCAACGCGGGCCGCCGTGTGAAGACCTCCAGTTTTCAACTATCGCGCCGCGCGGCGCGCTTGGACTTCAGAACTCGACACTTCTTGTGTCGTCACCCTTCAAGGGTGAAAGTTTCAACGAGCACGCGCCATCAGAAGTTTTGCCAGACGATTTTGCAGCGTCGAGTTCTGTTGATCTTGCTAATTAGCAATGAGCGCCAACAAATCGCCCAGTGCATCATCCTCAAACTGGAGCCACAAGCAGGAAGCCCTTCCAGGAAGCCTTGATTCTGAGCAGGGACTCCCTCGTTCAATGACAAGTTATCATCCACGGACGACAGATCTTTTGAAGCCTCCACTCCATCATGGTGCCATCGTGGCTCCGGACGACAGAGTGACTCTGGACCTCACGCTGCAGTCTGGTGCTGCTGGGGCTGCTGCTACAGCCACTACAACGGCAAATATTACCAACAACGACGTCAGCAGGCTGCAGAGCTTTAAGGTGGCTCCGATCTTTCCTGCGACACATTCCGGGAAGTTTCCTGATTCTACTGCTGCTTCCTCTGCCTTTGCCGCGCGTGGCGACGGTATGGAAGGTGTAACGATGATGAGAGCTGAAATTACTAGTGCTGATCTTGTCAGGGCCACTCTGGCACCTGCTGACGTGGCGATAGTACGGAGGAACTTCGCTAGGGATTCGCTACTGTCACAGCTGGAGAAGCTGGAGGCGGAATGGACAGCAGGCAGCAAAACAGAGACACCGCGTTACAGTCACATAATGTTGGAAGGTGATGATGGTTCTGCGCAGGGAAATCATCATATGATGGACATGCCGTCTTGCGTGCCGCCAGGACATGTCAGCCGCGGGCCAACACGGTGGGGTGTTGGCCGAATCGACGCACCACGAAATGACTTCCACACGCTGGCAGAGCCGCACGTCCACAATGGGGCGGCAGGGCTCGTCCAAGGTAGAGATGCAGGGTATGCCATAGACCCATCAGCTCATGACATGATGCAAGGCGTTTCCACCCACCAGCTGCTAAACAGTCCACCGGGAGCGCCTTTGCCGACAGGTTTCACGGCCAGCGCTTTCATCCCTCGCATCCAATCCTTCTCATCTCCCAAAAAAGATTCGCAGGCAGGAGCATCCGCATCCCTCCATCGGCCTGCCATATGGCAAGCACAGTTCATTCCCTTTGCTGTCGCTCTCCCAGCAGCAGGAGCAACAGCAGCAGCAGCGGCGGCAGGAGCAGCGGCAGGAGCAACAGCAGCAGCAGCAACAGCAGCAGTAGCAACAGGAGCAACAGCAACGACGGCAGCAGCATTGGAAGAAACACCAAAGGCAATGGAGACAGCAACGGTAACTGCAGCAGCAAAGGCAGCAGCAACACTAATCTGTTCGCATCCCAACACGTCACCGAAATTTCGCAAATCCAGCTCTACAGTTGCCAGGCCTGCCATAGCTGAATCATCTGCCGAGGACTCTTCAACTGAGCGTCCTTCACACTCCTCGCCCATGGTTATATCTTCCAGCAGCTCGCCATTTGTTTTGGTCGGAAGTCGGGTGATCGTTCCAAGGAGTGCATGGGCTCAGACGATGGTGGTAAACCACATTGATCAGGTGCAGGGAAATAAGAAGGGTAAACGCAGGAGTGGCGCCATGTCTGCAGAGGTGATTCACAATAAGGAGGGGCCGACTTCGGGGGCGCCTTCTAATCGGGCTGTCAGGAAGAAAAGTTATTCTCCATCAAAAGCAGAGGCGATCTCAAGTAAGGAAGCAGAACTTGTTTCCAAATGCTTGCAAGAAGCTATAGTAGGAAAGATTGATAGAAGCGATGAGCTCCATGAAGTAGAGAATGCAGAAATGGACGGTTCTTTTGGTAAGTCATTGGAAACAGGTAAGGATGACGCAGAGCAGAAGAAAAACATTGGTATAGTTCTTTTTGGGAAGCGAATAGATATGGATGTTGTACATCATAAACCATATTAACTCTTTTGCTTTTGATGGCTTTAAAGTACCCCACTTGAGTAACATCTGTAGTGTAATCGTGTTTCGCTTTGGCCTCGTAGCCAAATCAGGTTCCGCCTCGGACGTTTTGCGATAGGGACGGAATGTTGCGAATGACAACGACAATCGTCAGTGGCTTGTCCCGACTTGACGACTTCACGACGCGTGAGGTGGCAGCACATCTTCGCCTACGGATTCTCGTAATCCATCTGTTTTGGTCGCATGGGTGTCGTTGTGCGACTGTTTTTGGGTCTGATCTGTGTTTTCCCTCCAAAACTTATATCGGTGTGAAGGAAGTATGGACTTGCCTTTTCATTGACAATGCCTTCTTATTTCTGTTTAGATTCCACGTCGCGTCCTCGCCTTTTTCTATCGCCGCCGGTCACTGCTTTGGCTTTCAAGTGTGAATTCGCCGATTATACGTCGTCACGCCACTAGCATGTCGATGTTCCGGTCGCCAGGAAGTTGTTTACCAACCTGGTTCCAGTGACCATCTCTCAATCGTCAGCTTTTCTTTGCTTGACACAACTAGTAAGAGTCTATAACAGTTACTGTCTGCTTACGATGCGTATCCACGGCGAGATTGCAACAAACGTTAAGCTACTGGCCGCTTCAGGATTCAGCTCTCGCCTGCTGGAAGGCGAGCTCGCGGACAGGTCGGCGAGAAATTCAGAAGCGGAGAATCTGTTAAAGGAGAAGTTGTTAGCGAAGCAGATAGCTATCCTGTTTAACGGAGACGACGTGCGGCCTGTGCGACGCGTGCGATGCAGCGAGCGTCTAAGGCGACAGTGGACGTGTTTGGCCAGACACACCCGGCCGTTCCCAACGAGATTATTGCGTGTTACCACTGTGGTTACACTGTAACAGCCGGAAGATTTGCCTTCCATCTGCAGAAATGCCTCGGGAAGGTACGCTCTCTTTCCAGATCGAGGACCTCTCCTTTTCATGGATTCAGTTATCAAGCGGCGTTACGTATTAACGTTTTTTCCATTGTTCCAGTCTGCATGAAAATGTCAAAGACTGAAGGATAACCAAGAGCGAAAATAAGTCAACGAGTGAAGAATGTCATCGATTACCATGGCTTACGTGGTTTTCGCCTCTCTCCTTTTCGTCCCTACTGCTCCTCTCCTCGCTTTCCTTGCGCAGGGTCGTTTGGCATCCCAAAGAACCGCTCTCAACCTCGCTCGGACTCCCAGCCCGCAGCCTCAGCAGATTGTACAAAGGCGTTCTCAGCAGACGGTGCCGAGACGTCCCTCCGTATCAAATCTACAGCAGCAGCAGGATCAGCAGCAGGAGCAGGAGCAGGGCCAGCAGCAGCAGCAGCAGCAGCCGGCACAGCAGAGAGGGGAATCGGATCAAGGCGAGAGAGCAGGGAGACGGGTTGGCCGGAAGCCTAAGAGGACGGTGATTGGACCAAGAACGGCCAGTGGAAGATTCGCAAAAAAAACACCTCCCACAGAAAGTCCTTTGAAAGTTACACCCCCTAGAGCAACCCCTCCCCGAGTAACATCCCCCCAGATAACACCTCCCCGGGTTACACCTCCTCGGCTGACACCTCCCCGAGCCATGCCACCAAGGTTGACGGCGCCTCTAGAAAGAGAAGCAGCTGCACGGTTGAGAGAGGGAGAGGACGGAGGAGAGGATGGAGGAGACGAGGCACGTGGAGATGGGGATAGAGGAGAGAGTGGAGCAGACGCAGCGTGTGTTGAAGAAGCAGTGAAAGCAGAAGAGGTGGCGAATGCAGCAGGAAGCGTGGGAGCGGAGAGGAGGAGGAGGAATAAGCCGGAAGAAGGCGGGTCGATGGTGGTGACTCTGAGACTGAGAGGCGGTCGACAGGAGAGACAAGGTGCTGTTGCTCCTAGGATTCAGATTCTGCAGCAGCAGCCGCTGCAGCAGCAGGAGTGGCAGCAGCAGCAGCAGCAGCGGCAGGAGCGGCAGGAGCGACAGGCGCAATGTGGGTTGCAGGAGCAGACGCAGCAAACAGAGCCTGGTTCGTTGTCTGGGGTGGACGTGTCAGGGCTCCAGGCGATAGGGGCGAAGCGGAAGCGGGAAGGGAGGCGGAAGGGCCGCGGGGAGGAGGCGCATGGGGAATTTGAGCGCAGGGTTGAGGGGAGTGTTGAGGTGACAGTTGAGGGGTCATGTCCAAGTGAGGCAGAAGGTATGCGTGGGGAAGGGGAGGGGAAAGAGGGAGGGGGCGTTTGTGCTGGTATTGCTCCTGCTGCCCCTCCTGCTGCCCCTCCTGTTGCCCCTCCTGCTGCCAAGCCTGCTGCCGCTCTCCCGTCCACTCTCCCAGACCCCTCCCTCCTTGGGGATTCGCCAGCAGCCGCGGCAAGGAGAAGGCAGCAGCAGAGACGGCAGCAGCAGCTTCAGGAGGAGCGGTATACTGTACTTGAAGCAGACTGTAACGAGGATGAGAAGCTTTCTAGAAGCGCTGACGTCGGGACTAGGGCGGCTGAGGTTGGTAGGGACGGGAAAGCAGGTGCAAACCTTGATGTGGGAGTTGAGTTGGATGAAGGCGGGGGTGATAGTTCATTTGAAGGGGAACAAAGGCAGCAGAGGCAGCATAGGAAGCAACGGGAGCATAGGAAGCAGAGGGAGCAGCGGGAGCAGAGGGAGATGGTGATTCATGAAGAGCAAATGGGGGATCCTTGGGAGTTGGAAGCGGGTGAAGGGACGCTCTTACCTGCAGGCAATAGGGAGAAGCAGGGGCAGGAAGAGAAGCCGAAGCATGCTCGCAAAAGGGAGAAAGAGGAGGGGGGGGAGAAAAGGGAGAGGAAAGAAAAGGGGAGGAAAAGGCGAGTTAGTGAAGAAGATGTGATAGGGCGGAAGCGAGGAAGGGGCATGGAGGAGGCGTCGATTGTGGTGAGAGGGAGGGCTGGAGGGGCAGCAGGAGAAGGGGTGGAGGAGGGAAGGGAGGCAAGAGATGCAGAAGAGGCGAAGGGGGAGGCGAGAATGACCAGGAGCAGGGCTGCCAGAGCAGATGTGAGCTCTGGTAATGGAGCAGGGACAGGGGCTGGGGCTGCGGCAGGTGTTGGGATTGGAGCTGAGGCAGGGGTAGGGGCAGGAGCAAGGGGAGAAGAAGGAGCAGGTTTAGGATCATGGGATGGGGAAGCTGAAAAGGTAATCTCAGCAGGAGCAGGTGAGGGAGGAGTGCGAAGTGGCAATGAGAAGAGAGTGGTACGAGGGAGCGGTGAACGGCGGAATGAGGTTTCAAGGTTTACGATACGCGGAAAAGCACAGGATTGTGACGATCTGACGCTAGCACAGCTCCAGCAGCAGCACCATCAGATGCAGCAGCATCAGCCGCAGCAGCAGCAGCAGCAGCAGCAGCACGATCCAAAGGCACAGCAGCAGCAGAAGCGTGTGAATCATTCTGCAACTGTGTCCCCATACATAGCAGCATCCCCAGGGCGACCACCTCGGTCAATTCAGTCAACACAAGTCAACAGCCAACGGGTCCAGCACAGCTCAGTCGATATTTCTCCGTTCAGTTCTGAGTCAGCTGGCAGTCCAGCCAGGTCACTGAAACCAGCTGGCGTCTCTGCCACGTCATCAGCTGCTAGGACACAGCCAATCACGCAAGCCCAGCTCAGCTCAAGAGCCAGAATGCATGTATCTTCTGCAGCAGCACTCGCCATCGGCACAGCAATACCCGCAACAGGCACTGTACCAGCACCCGATCAAATCCGCACAACAGTCCCTGCTCCCAGTACAGTCTATAGAGAGGGCTTTGCCAGTCAAGCTGTCGGATCAGATCTGAAGGTTGTTCGCCCCACCGAACCAGTCACAGACGCTCCTCCCCAAGCCACAGTTGCGTCCTCGCTCAAACCGGCAGGCGTATCAGCTTCAACCATCAAGCAGGCCGTAAGAGCAGCTGTGATCTCTTCTCCCATCACAGAAAGGCACAGCCCATGCCGCGATATGGGTGCAGGGCCCTTGCATGATCTGGATTTGATTGTTCCTGCCAGGAGGCAGCGGAGCAAGGCAAAGTCGCAGCTGTCGCCTGTGAACGGAGGGGTTGCTTCGGTAACAGCTGTAGCAGCCGTAGCACCGGTTCCATCCCAGTCACCGTCGTCGTCCCCATTGTCATCTCCAGACGTATTTGCAACAGGAACAGCAACTGCAGGAGCAGCAGCAGCAACATCAGACGTGGCAGCAACAGAAGCAGCAGGGTTTACTGAAGCAGGTGGAGAAGCCGCGGCAGTTTTGACTCCCGCGGTAGAGTGCCAGAGGAATGCACGCGGAACGCAATCCGGAGCAGAAAGCATTACACACTCCCCGCTCCCCTCCGAGTTTCACACGCCACAGCCCCATCCTTCTCGTGGTTTCTTCTCCCCGCCTCATTCGTCCTCTGTGAACTCGGGGGGTTCAAGTGTTTGGTTGCTTGGGGACGAGGGCGAGAAAGGAGGAAGAGAGACACCGGTTGGGGAGATTTCAGGTGGGGAAACAGGAGATGGTGGTAAAGTCGCAAGAGTTGGATTAGGAGGTGCTGCAAAGTCTGTTGCTTGGATGAGCCAACACAGGCCTTTTGAAGCTGTGCCGAGGAATGGTGGAGTAGTAGCAGTGGAAGGGGACGAGTGTGATACAGCTGTGAGGGGTTACAATGCAGAGCGGCCCTCCTTAGTAGGCGAAATTGCAAGTGTTCCGGTGAAAAAGGTTAGGACAAAGAGACTTCCAGGTTCTTAGGAAGGACCAGTGTCCATTGCTATCTAGGAAGTGTAGTGGAAGGTGAGTGTGATGTGTAAGGACGCGGCACCTGTTTTCATTCTACAAGGATTGTGGCCTCACATCGATCCTGGCATATCGATCGGCACACCGATGTGCCCACACTGCAAATTTGTAGTGGGGTAGACACATCGAGCTATAGGTGCCAGGATCGAAATTGCAGGCTCGGGCAGGTTGGGCCTGCCATTACACTTAAACGCGCAGCCAATCAGGGCAGAGCGTGGATGGTCGTCCAGCAATTCCATTCGCAGTGACTCAAGATTTTTTGGCCTGCGACCGTGGGCGACGACGATCGATCGAGGCTGTCACCTGTGGCGCGATATGCTCTCCCGCCAACCCTAACGCATGCACCACGGCACATCGATCGTGCGAGCTGCAGGTGCCACCAATTTGGGTACCTGTTTACTGTACATTCTCGACGTGCAGCGAAAAACGGATACCAGGCATTGGCGATGTCGCCAATACACTGTACAGGCGGCACATCGATCCCCTCCCACGATCGATCTTGGCAAAATGAAAAGAGGTGCCGCGTCCTAAGTTGTCCACATGAAAATCTTGGAGCTCTCGTACATAAACGAATATAATTTTTAAAGACAGCGCTGACAGCCATGCTTTGTTCACCGACCTAAAGAGCTTCAGCAGCCCTTGGATGCCACAAATCCCCCAAGCCTTTCAGTCCAAGCCCTCCATCGTATCTCACTGGTTGTTTGAGATCCACGGGAAACCCCATAGGTTTGTTAGGACGCGTCACCTGAACGACGATCGTGCAAAAACCGATCCTTGACCGCACTGGAAGCCTGCGTATTGCATTCAAAAGTTCTAGACATTTTTTGAACCACGAAAATTTTCGAACCTACGTAGGATCGATCGCAGGATCGGCGTTCAGGTGACGCGTCCTTAGGACGTGGCACCAGTTTTCAAATTGGCACGATCGGAGGAGGTTCGGGGCCTCACATCCACCCTGCCACGATCGAAGGGCACACCGGTGTGCCCAACTACCTTTTGCGATCGCCTGGACACACCGAGCCTCAGGTGACACGATCTTAAATTACTGGGGCAAAATTGCCCCGATCTCCACAATTACACGATCGATGCGAGGGCGCAGACACATCGACCTTGCGAGCCACAGGTGACACCTTTTTGCTGACATATCTACTGTACATAGACGAAAATATGCGACAAGGGATACCAACCTTGGCAGAGTCGTCAGAATATTGTTCACCCGACACATCGATCCCCGCGAGGATCGATCGTGACACTTGAAAACAGGTACCGCGTCCTTAGGGACGTGTCCAGTTACTGTACAGTGCATGAGGTGTCTCGTACAAAATGCGCGGCAGCCCCTGGCATCTAAACTGGAGTTCTGATGGAATTTGAAATGCAAACTGCGTCCAGCGGCGTTGAATGAAACCTGGTGTGGTATGTCCCGTACCAGAAATGTGTCCAGGGTAGGCCCTCGAAAATCTTTCGGTTTCCAAACCAACCCGTAGGTTTCGGCTACGGTGATTGGTTCAATAGGGAGGTGCGGAAACAAACGAACCGGACAGCGACGAACCGAACGGAACTATGGCAGGCGTCCTGTCCCTCACCTCACTCCCACACACACACTTTCTGTCCCTTCCGGTTTGCTCTGCTTTTGCCTTGTTGCTGAGAGGACGTGTGTGCTGTGCACCAACCCACCACAAAAATGCTGCTGTGGTGCGATCGGTATCGCATTCGCATGTGCAAACTCGTAGTACTTGGTTGGTGTCACTAAAGACCGAACCCTAAATGCACCAGCCATCTAGGTGATTAGTGAATGCAACGAGAGCAAGAGTTGTTTGGAATGTGAGCATTGACGTACAGGCGAATGCACGCTCTAGCAAGCCTTCGGACTCCAAGTACGAATGAAATAACTATCCGTGACCTGACGTTATCCAGAAATTCCTATGCTAAGCTATTGACGGTTGGTTCCTAGTCACAGAACGCACGTTAGTGTAGTTAATAGAACTCCAAGATCCAACTCCACGGGGCTTCGGTGGTGCTTCCTTGATAGAGCAGGACACCTTTTTTTTCTCAGCTCCGTTCCGTCTCAAAATGAACTGTCTCATTCCCGTTATAAACGCTTTTCCAATCCACTCGTAGCCTATCGCACTCCCGAGTATGAACTTTCACAATCCCCATTCTTAGTTATCACGTCTTACAGCGGTGTGATTCACGCTCCCCTCTTTCGCACCTTAACTCAGCCACACCAGTCATCCTGCCTGAGCTTAGTCGCAGCCGATTGCAACTTCGTTTAATTGCCGGTTCCCATCATATCCACCAGCAGCAGTTCAGCACGCCTTAACCTAACGCCGCTCGTTGCTCGCATGCACGTACTGACCAATAGTGCAGACCCACCTGTGACCCCTCGTCCTCTTATCATGTCTTTTATTTATACGCGAGAGACGGAGTTGTCGATATTACTCAATCAGCTATAGTGGGATTATGGGGATATCTAGCATATTGCAGCCACAGGCAGAGGACGCTGCTGTGAGAGCCTTTTAGTTATAATGGGGATCCCTTTAACCGAGTCACACACAGGGAACGCTGCTTCGGAAGCTCTAGGTTCAAGTTCGGCAGCAGACGTAGGTTCGGAAAGGGCAGTTCCAGGCTCGGAACGTTCAGGTTCGGACCCTGCAGGTTTGGACCCAAGCAGCGGCAGTTTGAGCGGCTTCATTAGCTTCGCAAGAAGTGCCGGCAGTGCGGTTGGGAGCGGTAGCGCGGGAGGGAGTATTCCTGAACTTGGGACTGGCAGCGGAACAGGGAGTGGGCCCGGTAGCGGTAGCAGCCAAGGCTTACACGAAATAACGGAGCAGACTATAACGGAGCCTGTGAACAGTGGAGGGAAACAAGCGGGCGGCAGAATAGAGCTGTCGCCCTTTGGGGGACAAGAAAACGACAAGAACAGCAATCATAATCATTCCAATCCAAAGCAGCTGAGATTTCAGGGGCGGAGCTACAGTAACACCAGCAGCAGCGGCAGCAGCCAGGGTAGCGGGTTGTGGAATAACGGGTCGCACTCGCCTGTGTTGACGCACATGTCGAAGCGAGAGAGGGTGATGGACCTGCTGGGAATGCTCAGTGCGAGGCGATTCTGCCGAATGGGGTTTGCAGAGCATGATGAGGATGACGTTATTGCTGCTGCTTCTGATGCTGATGATGGTGGTGGTCCTGGTGGTGGTGGGGGTGGTGAGAGGGGGGGAGTGGAGGATGGGGAGGAGGTGGAAGGGAAGAGGAGGCGGAGGAGGAGGAGCAAGGCCTGGCAAACGGTTCGGAGCGGTGCTGCTGGGTGCTTCTCGGTGCCGCTTTTAGAGGACGATGGGAACGCTGGTGGCGGGAAGGAGAAGAAGCCATGGCGGCATGGGAAGAAGAGCAAGGAGGGGGGGAGGACGACTGAGGAGAACGGGCGAGGAGGAGGGAGCAAGGGGGACGAGGAAGGGGGGAGGGAGGGAGATGGATGGCTCATGAGGAAGGGCGGAGGAAGGTTCCTTTTGGACTCACTCAAATCCCCCGTTGTTATCACTCGCCTCACCATGATGGTACGTATGTACTATGTGACACAGTCCCCACCCTCGTTATAGTCCATCACTCTGTCGGCTGTATGAGTGAGTGAGAACGTGAGTGTATGTTTCTTAGCAGCACGGTCCTCGTGCCATTCTTTCGTTCCGTCCTCTCTTTCTCCCCGCCCCCGCTATCCCTCTTTCCCCTCCCTCCCCCTTTCCCCCATCCACCCTCCCTCTTGTTCTCCCCTAGGCGCTGCTCGTTATAGTCACGGTGGTGCTGTGTGTGAGCACGTGGTATGCAGCGGGCAAGATGTACAGCGACTCCCTCGATGACATCGCCACACAGTAAGTTTTTGTGTGTGTGTGTGTGTGTGTGTGTGTGTGTGTGTGTGTGTGTGTGTGTTGTTTTTTTTTTTTTTAATGCTGGTTTTTGTTTTTTCCCACTGGATTTACTGTAGCTATGCGGTCGGCCGACGAGCCGGCATGTGGTCTGCCACATTGGAGATAATTTTGCCTTCCGGCCCCTCAACTCCTTTTCCTCACCTCTCTCCTGGTCCTCCAATTCCAGGTTGAGGCAGAAGTCCCTGGTGCGAGCGCACCAGCAGTTATTGCTCTACATCGATCTTGATCGCAACGTGCTGCTCGCCTTCGCTTCTGCTACTCATTCACTCTCCCCTCTCTTCCCCAACTCCCTTTCACCGCTCTCACCACCGTTCTCCACTGATTCCCACCGCCTACCACCACTCTCCACCGCTCTGAACCCCTCCAACTGCGGCAGAAGTCCTTGGTGCGAGTATACCAGCAGTTCCTGCTCTACATCAACCGTGATCGCGACGTGCTGCTCGCCTTCGCCTCCACTTCTCATTCACCCCCCCCTCTTCCCGAAACCCCCATCCACCACTCTCCACCGCTCTCAAATGCTCTCCACCCTTCTCCACCGCTCTGAAATTTTGCAGGCTGCGGCAAAAGTCTCTAGTGCGGGTGCACCAGCAGTTCCTGCTCTACATCAACCGTGATCGCGACGTGCTGCTGGCCTTCGCCTCCGTGGTGGAGAACCTGCTGGCGCAGACCAACACGTCTGTCGTGGGGCTACGTTATGCGCAGAAGCAGGTGCGTTAAGGGGCATGGAATGGAAGAGAGTGAGTGGATTGGAGGGCAGGGAACGAGAGTGCGTTGAAGCCGCGACGTGCTGCTGGCCTTTGCTTCTGTGGTGGAGAACCTGCTGGCGCAGACCAACACGTCTGTCGTGGGACTCGGATTCGCGCAGCAGCAGGTGGGTCAAGAGAAGCAGGGGCAGCGAGCAGCAGGTGCGTTGAAGGGCAGGGCAGGGCAAGGAACGAGAGTGCGTTGAAGCAGCGCAGCGACATGCATGGTGCTGGCCTTTGCCTCCTGTTGCTGCTGCTGCTGCTGCTGCTGCTGCTTGCAATCTCCTCCTCCGTGGTGGTGGAGAGGAGAACCTGCTCTGCTGGCACTCCAACACGTCTCTCCCTCCCTCCCTTGCCTTTCCCTGCTCTTTCTCCCTGTCTCTCGCTCCTTCTTCCTGTCCCTCCCTCACAGATCGCCCCTCTGGCGTGGTCATTCTTCCAGTCGTCCCTCCCGCGCCTCACTCTCTTGTCCAGCCCTCCCTTCTCGCCCGTCCCTTGCTCTTCCCTGCCCGTTCTCTTTTCTCTGCCTCCCATTCCACCTCAGATCGCCCCTCTGGCGTGGTCATTCTTCCAGTCGTCCCTCCCGCGCCTCACTCTCTTGTCCAGCCCTCCCTTCTCGCCCGTCCCTTGCTCTTCCCTGCCCGTTCTCTTTTCTCTGCCTCCCATTCCACCTCAGATCGCCCCTCTGGCGTGGTCATTCTTCCAGTCGTCCCTGCCGCGCCTCACGCTGCTGGGCTACTTCTCCCACTTCGGCTGCCTTGTCTCCTACTCCCAGACCGACCCTGTCACCCAGTCCTTCTCAGCCACTCCTGGTGGCGCCGTGTCACAGGTCTACACAAAGAATCTCACCGATATCACAGGTGCGTTTGACGCAGATTTACTTTTGGCGTGCCTCAAAAGTAGACGTGTCACAGGTCTACAGAAAGAATCTCACCGATATTGCAGGTGCGTCAATATGGACACATGTACACCTCTTTGACTTTTGAGTCGACTAAAAAAACGGGCGCCGTGTCCCAGGTGTACACAAAGAATCTCACTGACATCACAGGTGCGTCTACACTGATATAACTGGTATCCCGCTTATCCCGCTCATCCCGCTCATCCTCTTTCCCTCCTTCCCCCCACCACTTTCCCCACCCACCCCACGACCTTTCCCCATCACTCCCCCCCTTCACCCCTTCCCCCACCTTCCTTCATCCTCTCTGCCTGCTGGTGCAAGCAGGCCAATGGTACATCCAGGCAGTTAACACCTCCACCGGATCCGCCCTCCCGCAGTCACCACCACGGAACTTCACGCCAGTGCCCATCGGGTCCCCAACCGTCTACGACAGCGTTGCCAGCGGCCCCCCCGGCCTGCTTCTCTGGTCCTTCAACCTCTCTACATCTCCATACTCCCTCCCTTCTCGATCTCCCCCTCCCCTGCCCCCCCCTTCCTTCCCCCACCCCATTCTCCCCCTCCCCCACTCCCATCCCTATGCATAACGCAAGCAGGCCAATGGTACATCCAGGCAGTTAACACCTCCACCGGATCCGCCATCCCCCAGTCTCCCCCTCGGAACTTCACGCCAGTGCCCATCGGGTCCCCAACCGTCTACGACAGCGTTGCCAGCGGCCCCCCCGGCCTGCTGCTCTGGTCCTTCAATGCCGTTCAGAACCTCTCTGGACCGCTCTTGCTCGCGTCTGTGGCCGTGAGGGGCGCGGAGCAGAGGAAAGCGATTGGGCAGGATGTTGGGGGGGATGAGTGGTGGGATGTGGGTGCGGGAGTGGGGGTGAAAGGGGTGGTGGGGAGTGCGGGGGGGAGTGGAGGAGGGAGTGGGAAAGGGAGGGGGTTGGGAGGGGCTGGAGGGACTACGAAGGTTGATGCAACGGTTCAAGGAGGTGATGCTTTGGGGAATGGGGATTGGGATGGAAATGGGGATAGGGACACGGGTGGGGTTGCGGGTGGCGATGTTGAGGCCAATGGGTTGGTGGCTCGGGACTTATTGTCGCTGCAAGAAACTCCCTTCCACCCCCATTTCCACTTGCATTCTCAACGACCTGCGCACCTCTCCTCAGCTGCTGCTGTGGCTGCTGCTGCCACTGCCACTGCCACTGCTTCTGCTTCTGCTACTGCTGCCAGTGCCGGGGCAGGTAGGCTGGCATTCGTATCGGCATCGGCATCAGCATCAGCAGCTGATTCCACCTCCTCCTCCCTCTCCAACACCTCCTCTCCCACTTCAACCTCCTCCCCTCTCTCCTCCACCTCCTCTGCAACTCCCTCCCTCACCCTCAATCCCACCACCTCCACTGCCACCACCACCGCCACCACCACCATCACCACCCCTGCCGCTGCTGCCGCCTCTGTCCCAGCCATAACGGGCATAGTAACGTTGGGGTCGTCCACAGGCACTGTGAACCGCTACCTGGGTCTATCAGGCACAGACAACAGCGTCATGTACATCTGCAGCAGCGACGGGTTTTTGGTTGCCACCTCCACCAACGCCGCCACCACCGCCATGGCTACCCCGTCTGCAAATCCAGCTGCTCCTGCTTCCAGTGGGATGAGCGGAGGAGGTGGGAGCGGCAACCAGAGCGGGTCGGGGCAGCAGCAGCAGGGGGCAGGACCGCCGCCGCTGCCGCCGGGGTTTGAAGGGCCGGGGGCCGGGCAGGCGATGCCAGTGCTGGTGAACGCGACGCAGGTGTTGGATGCGGTGATTGCCGATACGGCGCGGTACCTGGAGGCGCGGTTTGGGCTGCCGGCGCTGGTGGCGGGGAACTACTCGGTGGGGGGCGTGATGGTGAACGGGGAGGAGTGCTTCGTGAGCACCATGGCCCTCAGCTTCGACAATCTCAACATGGTGAGGCTTGGTCCATTGTAGTGTAGCTATACACAAACGCTGGGTTCCAAAGGGTCAGGGGCCGGGGAGGAGATGCCGGCGCTGGTGGCAGGGAACTACTCGGTGGGGGGGGGTGATGGTGAACGGAGAGGAGTGTTTTGTGAGCACCATGGCCCTCAGCTTCGGCGATCTCAACATGGTGAGGCTTGGATCGGGAATGCAGGTATATTATACAGACACGTTGGGGGCTGGGGAGGAAGTATTGGTGCTGCTGGTGGGCGGACCTACTCGGTGGGTGGGCGGACCTACTCGGTGGGTGGGGTACATTACGGTGGATGGATGGGGAGGAATGCTTCGTGAGTACCATGGCAACTTCGTGCCAGAGTATGGCTCTCAGCTAGTTTTTAAGGCGCCTCAAAGCTACGTTTCGTGAGTACCATGGCATGGCATGGCTCTCAGCTTCGACAATCTCAACTCAACTTGGTGAGCTTCATTTGTCCCCTTCAACCCCCCCTTAATCCATTCCTGTCCCTCCCCACCTTCTCTTGCCTCCCACTCTCTCATTCCACCTCCTCTTCCCCCCTCTCGGTCCCTAGCACCACTCTTCCTCATGCCACCTTCCTCTTGTCGCTATCCGATCCCCCCCCAACCCTCCCTATCTTCCCACCCCTTCCCTCCCATCCTCCTCCCTATCCTACAATCGCCGTCTGGTGAACCTACAGTCGCCCTCTCCTTGAAAGAAACTAGGAGCTATGGAAAGCTGAGGAAGAATTGTTAAGATTAGCTCAAGAGAGCACAAGGTTATACAAGGAAGAGAAGGTTGGAGAGGAACACCAAACCTAGCACATAAGACACCAAGACCAAGTAGGCTAGTGGGAGGAAGGACCATCCAACCAACCCTAGTGGGATGGTGGCCAACCAACCAAAGTTGGTTGCCCCACTTGGCCAACAAGGTTGGAGCCAAGTCTAAGCTAGGATATTTGGGTTCACCCCAATTAGGGTGTCTACCCGCAGTACACCCAAAACTAGAGCCTGAACCAACCCAACTGTACACCACTCTTGGTGTACAGTCACAAGTGTTCGCATGCTATAATATATAGATTCTAACACTCCTGTCCATATCTATCTCCTCTCTTCCCAATTCTCCCCCCAACCCGCTTCTCCCTTACCCCCTTGCTCACCTCTACCCTTCCCAGTACCTTGCGATCATCATGCCGCGCGCCTCCATCACAGCATCGATAGAGTCAAAGCAGCGCATCATGGTCATTGTCACCACGGCAGTCGCGCTGTGCCTGCTGCTCATCGGCTGGGCCGTGGTGATCTTTCTCACGCTCTACGTGGACACGCGCATGCGCCCCAAGGAGGAGCTGCAGCGCCAGATGGAGGAGACCCAGCGAGCCCAGGCTGCCTCAGAGGTCAAGAGCCAGTTCCTGGCCAACATCTCCCATGACCTCAGGACCCCTATGGCCGGGTGAGTCAAGGGTTGGGTTGGGACTCTGTTGTCCCACTTTCCCCCACCCACACACACACTCTACATGCGCACGCACCCTGGTGGGTTGGGGGGTGGGCTGGGCCGTGGTGATCTTTGTCACGCTCTACGTGGACACACGCATGCGCCCCAAGGAGGAGCTGCAGCGCCAGATGGAGGAGACCCAGAGAGCCCAGGCTGCCTCGGAAGTGAAGAGCCAGTTTCTTGCCAACATCTCCCACAATCTTAGGACTCCTATGGCTGGGCGAGTCAAGGGTTGGGTTGGGTTGGGCCTCTGTTGCCCCACTTTCAACCAAAACCTTCCCCTTTCCTACCCTCTCTTCCCCTCGCTCTCTGCAGCATCCTGGGACTGCTGGACTGGACGTCATGCTGTGTGATCACCTGCCATCGGAGCAGGAGGCCAATCAGCAGCAGATGCTGTGCTGCCTCTCCTCGTCTTCCTCAATCTTCCCCCCCCCCCCCCACCCCCCCCCCCCCCCCCCCTCCCTCCTTCCCGTCCTCCTTAGCATCCTGGGTCTGTTGGACATCATGTTGTGCGATCACCTGTCATCGGAGCAAATCTTGGAGACGTCTCAAAACAACCCCCCCCAATCTCCTCTCCACTCCACCCCCCCCTCCCCACACTCCCCCCTTTCCTTCTCTTTTCCCGTCCTCCTCAGCATCCTGGGTCTACTGGACATCATGCTGTGCGACCACCTCTCGTCAGAGCAGGAGGCCAATCTGCGCCAGATGAAGTCCTGCTGTGCCTCCCTCCTTGGACTCCTTAACAACCTGCTCGACCTTGCCAAGGTGCCATCACCACCACTTTGCTCTCTTCCTTCCACCACCATCACCACCACCTCTTTGCTCTTCCTGCCTTTTTGCTTGCTACTGAATAGGCTAGGCATGAGAACGAGAGGTCGAGTTTTGAGACGTTTCAAAACTCGACCGCAGGACAGGTCCCTATTCCATTGCGGATGAACACGCAGGAGGATAGGCATGAAGAAGACCCAAGCCCAAACCAGTCTGAACCGAACCGGACTATATCCGAGTGCTATGTGTGTGCTCATCAGCAATCTGTGTGCTCATCCTCATTCTTGCCAGGTGGAGGTGGGCGAGATGCAGCTGGAAGTCTTGGAGTTTGACATTGTGGGGAGCTCGAGTTGCTGGTTGACATGTTCAGCAGCGTGCTTATTCTCTCACTCTTATGATGGCCTTTGTTCCTGACTTGCCAGGTGGACACAGGCAAGATGGAGCTGGAGGTCTTGGAGTTTGACATAGTGGGCGAGCTCGAGCTCGAGTCGCTGGTGGATTCACTCCTGAATCTTGCCCTCTCTCACACCTGTGTGTGTCTGCTCTATCTGTGCGTGTACACATGTATCACAGGTCGAGGCAGGCAAGATGCAGCTGGAGGTGCTGGAGTTTGACATAGTGGGCGAGCTCGAGTCACTGGTTGAGTCACTGGTTGAGGCACTCCCCTTGCTTACACACCCTCTCGCACACACACTCTCACCTGTGTGCATATGTGCTATCTGTGTGCGATTGTCTGCCACAGGTGGAGGCGGGCAAGATGCAGCTGGAGGTGTTGGAGTTTGACATAGTGGGCGAGCTCGAGTCGCTGGTCGACATGTTCAGCGTGCAGGGGCTCAGCAACGGCACCGAAATCGCCCTCGATCTCTCTGACGACATTGATCGGACGGTCAAGGGCGACCCGTCCAGGGTCAGACAGGTGCGGCCTTGCCTTGTTTGTGGCATGTGCCTGCCGCCCACACCCACCCTCCTCCCCGCTTTCTCCATCTCACACGCTCACACCCACCCTTGCTCTTCCCATTTCCTCCTCTATATTTCTTCCTCTGTGTTTCCGCTCCTCCACTCCCATAATTACCCCATCCACTCCACCCCTCCCCCCCCCACACACACACTTCCGTTTTCTCTCTCTCCTGCCCCTCCTCTTTTTCTTCCCATGCTGCTGCAGCCCATCCCACTCCTCCCACCCCAGCCGCCCATTTGCCTGGTGCTTCTGCAATCTCTTTGCTCCTTTCTCTGAACCCTCTCACCACTTCGCCACCTTCACACTCTCCCTCTTGCTCTCCTTCTCTCCCCCCCTCTTGCTCTTCCTCTATCCCCCACTCTCAGATGTTCGCGAATCTGCTCAGCACCGCGTGCAAGTTCACCGAGAACAATTTGGTGGTGACTTGTCTTCTCCTCCCTCATGCACTGTGCTGTGCCTCCGCTCCCCTCCCCTCCCCTCCCCTCCCCTCCCTTCCCGTCCCGTCCCGTCCCGTCCCCTCCGCTCCCCTCCCGTCCCCTCCCGTCCCCTCCCCTCCCGACCCTCCCCTCCCGACCCTCCCCTCCCGTCCCTTCCCCTCCCGTCCCCTCCCGTCCCCTCCCCACCCCTCCTCTCCTCTCTCAGGTGTTTGCGAATCTACTCAGCAACGCGTGCAAGTTCACCAAGAACGGCCAGGTGGTGGTGCGGGGGTGGGTGCGGGACAGGCCGCCCCCGCAGCTGGCAAAGCAGGACCTCTCCATCCCGGGGGAGAAGGGCAAGTGAGTGCGGGGGAGGGGGAGACGGGTGCGGAATAAATGCAGTGGGAGGAGGGTTGGAGGAGGAGAGAGGGGTTGGTGGGGAGGGAGGGGGGGAAGGAGAAGGGGGGGCGGTGAATCAAGAAGAGAAGTAGAGCCTCTCATTTCCGCTTACTCTCCTTCCTGCTTTCCCATTCCTTGCCTCCCCCCCCCTCCCTTTCCTTCCCTCCAACCCCTTTCCCCCCAGCAGCAGGCGGCACAGCAGGTCCAAGAGCCGTGATGTGGACAATGCAGCAGCAGAGGCAGGGGGAGGAGTGGGTGGGGGAATGGGCGGAGGGGCGGGGGTGGGAGGGGAGCAGGGCGGGGGCAAGGGGCGGCGCACAGTGGCGTTCATGTTTGAGGTGGATGACACGGGGCCGGGCATTCCCGTGCACAAGCGAGAGTCCATCTTTGAAAACTTCCAACAGGCTGATGTTTCCACTGCCCGCACACACGGTGGCACAGGTGGGGAGCAGTTGGGTGGGGTGGGGTCGCCACTTGTTTGGGGTGGATGACACGGGGCCAGGCATTCCAGTGCACAACTGAGTTTCCATCTTTGAAACCTTTCAACAGGCTGGTGGCACAGGTGGGATGGGGTGAGGTGTGGTTGGGGGTTGAGGTGGATTGAGGCGGGATGGGGTGAGGTGTGGTTGGGGGGTGAGGTGGATTGAGGTGGGATGGGGTGAGGTGTGGTTGGGGGTTGAGGTGGATTGAGGTGGGATGGGGTGAGGTGTGGTTGGGGGTTGAGGTGGAGTGAGGTGGGGTGGGGTGGGGATGGCACCATTCCACCCTTCGCGCCACCCTTCCCACCCTGCCATCCAGCTCCCATACACCTCTTTGCTGTGCCAGGTCTTGGCCTAAAAAATCGTCAGCTTTTGAGTCGACCCAAATGGTGCCAGGTCTTGGCCAGGCAACCGTCATCTCCCTAATCAATCAGCCACCCAAACTAATGCACACTACTGCCACTGCCCCCCGTTTCCTCTTCCTGTTCCTTTCCCCCCTCCTCCCCGTCCCTCTCCTCTTCGCCATCCCCATCCCCTTCCATCATCCCGCTCCCACGTGTGTCTTTACTGTGGCAGGGCTCGGTCTGGGAATCGTACGCTCCCTGGTAAGCCACCCCATACGTTTTCTCCCCTACCATCCCCAACTCCTTACCCTTCCCCTTCCCCTTCCCCTTCTGCTTCGCCCTCCCCTTCTGCTTCCCCTTCCTCTTACCCTTCCACTTCCCCTCCCTTCCCCGTCCCCACCCTTATCCCCCCATCCTTTTCCATCTCTGCTTGTATACATCCTCCCAGCTTTTTTTGGTGATCTGTAACCCCATTCGCAAACCTGTCCCTGTTCGTGACTCTGTGTGTAAGTGCATACATGTAAATCCCATGTGTAAACCAATTTGTAACCCTGTGTGTAACCCCGTGTGTAACCGCATGTGTAACCGCATGTGTAACCGCGTGTGTAACAACAGGTGAACCTGATGGGGGGATCAATAGCCGTGGTGGACAAGGATGGGCAGGGGGCCCGGTTCCGCTTCGACATGCGGTTCGAAGCGGTGGAGGGCGGTGGAGGGTGGCACAACAGCATGCTTCAGCCAGAGCTGCTGCTGCCCAAGCTGACTGCCGTGGAGGGCGGGCAGGTGAGGAGAGAGATGGGGGGAAGGGAGGGAGGAAGGTGAAGAAGGAAGGGGAGTGGTGGAGGGTGTGTGTGTAGGTGGGAGCTGGGGAGAGTATAGGGGAGGGTAGGTTGGAGGGAGGGGGTGAACTGGAGGTAGGTGAGGATTCTTGTTTGTGGACAGAGAGAATACATGTGGACTTGTTTGAGAGATTTCTGGCGCTCACTCTCTGCCCACATGTATTCTCTCTGTCCCCCTCCCCCCTCTCCTCCCCCCTTCCTTCTCTCCCAATCCCACTCAGGTGCTTCTAGCAATGAAGGACGACAGTGCCGCCGCGGCCATAGCCACGGCCTGGATGGAGCGGCGCAAGCTCAAGGTGTGGCGCTCACTCCGCCTGCTTGTCTTCTCGTCCCCTCTCCTTTCTCCCCCCCCCTCCACGCCGCCCCCCTTCCCCCGCTCCTTCTTCATCCCCCTCAGGTGCTGCTGGCAATGAAGGAGGACAGCGCCGGGGAAGCCATAGCCTCTGCCTGGATGGAGCGGCGGAAGCTCGGTGTGGCGCGCACTCCACCTACGTGCCTTCTCGTCCCCTCTCGCCCTAAACCCCGCCCTCCCCTCTGCTCACCCCCCTCTCAGGTCCTTCTGGCAATGAAGGAGGACAGTGCAGGGGCGGCCATAGCCACAGCCTGGATGGAGCGGCGCAATCTCAAGGTGTGGCGAGCGCACACGTGGCAGGAGATCATGCCAGCTGTCGCGTCCATACTGATCCAGAAGTCTGCTGCCTCGCAGCCCCCCCGTGCCTCTCGCTCCCTCGTGGGCTTCTCTGCTCCGCTCATGCGGAGTTTTACTGCTCTGAGAGGGGGCGGTGGGGAGAAAGGGGAGAAAGGCGAGAAGGGGGAGCGAGGGGAGAAAGGGGAGAGGGGGGAGAGGGGCGGGGAGAGAGGGGGGATTGCTGCTGCGGGTGGAGCGGTGGGGGGAGGAGGGGTGGGAGGTGGTAGTTTTGGCGCTGGGGGTGGCGGCAGCAGCAGCAATGGTGGCGGCGGGGGTGGTGGTGTTGGGAGTGGTGCGGGTGGGTTCAGTCCGATGGTGGATAAAGCGAGGTCGGCTGTAGGCTGGCTCAGTCCCTCCCCTCGCGCTCACGACTCATCGGCAGCACCTGTAGCGCCATCACCAGCGGCTGTAGCAGCAGCTGTGGCAGCGGCTGTAGCAGCTGTGCCAGGCGGATCTGGGGGAGGGGGAGGGGGAGGCGGGACAGGTGGGACCTCCCCTAGGCCATTCACCCCGGATCAGACCCCCCCCCTGTCAGGGCCTATGCAGGCGCAGCTGGGGCAGGTGGTATCTGAATCAGGCGCACCTGGGCAGGGGCAGAGAGAGGTTTGGAACCGGCTTCCCTCGCCGTCCCATCCTCTGGGCAACGGGCGCATTCTGAGCAGCCCCGGGCGCTGCTTCGGCAGCCCTGCTGCTGCAAGCACTTGCGGCGACAGCGAGGAGGGGGAGGTTGGGGACGGGGGAGCGGGGGAGGGGGCGGAAGGGGGGAAAGGAGGAGGGGGGTTGGCGGGAGGGAGGGCGATGGGGATGGTGAAGAGCCTTGGCAGCAGCAGCAGCAGGTTACTGGGGCGTGGTCTGAGTACCAAGTCCCGACGGTCCCTGGAGAAGCAGGGTAGCAGCCGTGGCTTGGACCAGGATCCCTCCTTTTCCAGCCACGGCTCTGCCTCTACCACCACCACCCCTCCCGCTTCTGCTGATGCTGCTGCCGCTGGTGCTGCTGCTGGTGCTGCTGCTGGTGCGCTAGGCACGCCCCCCAATGGTCTCGCATCGCTGTCCTTTGATGGGACGATGGGCAGGGAGCAGCAGGGCCTGTTGAGTGGGCCGTTAGCTCATGGGAGCATCGGCTCCCGGTCGCTCGGAGCAGGGTTGCTTGGAGGGCGAGGGGGACCGGGGGGCGTGGGGTCGGACAAAGACGGCTCGATTGCTGCTGCTGCCGCCGCCGCTGTTGCTGCCGTTGAATCAGAAGGTGCTGGCACTGGTGGCGCTGGTGCTGGTGGTGTTGCTGCTGGTGCTGCTGCTCCCGCTGCTGCTGCTGGTGCTGCTGCTCCCGCTGCTGCTGCTGCTGCTGCTGCTGCTCCCGCTGCTGCCACAGCTTCCCGTGGATCCTTCCTCTCTGCCGCATCCCCTTCCCGGGTCGTCCCGGCATCCCCATCCCGGCTCATCCCCGCCTCCCCTCCCTCAGCAGCAGCCCAAGCATCCTCCTCCTCCTCTGCCTCCTCCTCAGCAGCCCGGCCGGCGTCGAAGCTGATGCTGGCGGTGATAGACGTGTCCATCGTGCCGAGCGTGCATCAATTTATTGCCGAGGAGCTTCATATATTTCGGGCACGGCTGCAGCACCAGGGCTTCGTGATCGCCTGGCTGGTGGAGCACAACACGTCCGCTGATACTAGGCGCGTACTCAGAAGGTAGGCTCCGAGAAGGCAGGGCAGCAGGCAGGCAGGTGAGTATGGAAGGTAGGCTCGTCCTCCTCCTCCTCAGCAGCCCGGCCGGTATGGAAGCTGATGCTGGCGGTGATAGACGTGGCCATCGTGCCCAGCGTGCATCAGTTCATTGCGAGGAGCTTCATATTTTTCGCGCACGCCTGCAGCACCAGCAGTTCGTGATTGCGTGGCTCGTGGAGCACAACACGTCAGCGGGTACTAGGCGCGCACTCAGAAGGTAAGGGGAGAGAAGATAGTTGGAGGGAAGTTAGTGATCAGACATTCCAGCGAGCTGCAGTTTCTAAGGAGAAGGTTTAGCAAAGGAGAAAACAGTAGTAGTAAAACCTAGCTAGTTTACGTAGGGTTCTGTAAAGTCGAAGCTCTTCACTAAGCAGTGGGAGGGAGGTTAGGGGCCTCCGTCTCCCTCCCTGCCCTCCTTCACTCCCTCCCATATCCATGTCGTGCAGTGCAGTGGCGTCTATGCCAGTCTACGCAATGTCCCCTCTGCTGGCCTTGGCGATCCCCTTAGTGGCCTTGGCGATCCCCTTAGTGGCCTTGGCGATCCTCTTAGTGCCTTCTTCTCTTCTTCTCTGCTGCCTCCTTCTTCTCTTCCCACCCTCACACCCTCTGTATGCAGGTCTGGGTGTGCAGTGGCGTCCAAGCCCCTCTATATGCATCGCACATGACCCCTCTGCTGGCCCTGGCAACGGCCAGGAACAGCGTGCCGCACTCGAGCTCGCAGATTGACATGCCTTATGCTCAACCTTTATCCCCTTCCTCCCCTCTCCCCTCCCTCCCATCCCTTCATGTGCAGGTCGGGGTGTGCAGTGGCGTCCAAGCCCCTCTATGCGTCGCGCATGGCCCCTCTGCTCGCCCTTGCCACGGCCAGGAACAGCGTGCCGCACTCGAGCTCGCAAATTGACATGCCTTATGCTCTCTCCTTCACCCTTTCCTCTCCTTTCTCCGGTTCCCCTTCCCCCAACCCCACCCCCCCCCCCAAACCCCCCACCTTCTCCCCCTTCTTTCCCCCCTCCATTCACAGGTCGGGCTGTGCGGTGGCGTGCAAGCCCCTCTATGCATCGCGCATGGCCCCTCTTATCCCCCTTCCCTCCCCCCCTTCTCCTCTCAACACCCTCTGTATGCATGCAGGTCGGGGTGTGCAGTGGCGTCCAAGCCCCTCTATGCGTCGCGCATGGCCCCTCTCCTCGCCCTGGCAACGGCCAGGAACAGTGTTCCGCACTCGAGCTCGCAAATTGACATGCCGCGCACGTTTGGAGGGAGGGGCGGGCGAGGGGCAGATGGGGGAGGCGAAGGGGGTGGTTCACAGTGGCACCATGGCGAGGGGAACGAGCAGGTGAGAGTATAGTGATTCTGGTTTGTGTGACAATAAATGTTGTTAAAGTACTGTTGCTGCCGCTGCCGCTGCTGCCTCCTCCGCTGCCAGTTTCTGGTGCCGCTCGCTCTCACTCTCCTCCGCCCAATCCCTCCCTTCCCCCCTCGAGTAGTGAGGCGCCTAAGAACTCTCCTCCGCTGCCGGTTCTGTTCCCACTCACTCTCACTCTCCTCCATCTCTCCCTTTCTTCCCTCCCCCCTTCCCCTCCCCCCCAACCAGGCGTGGGGCCTGCCAGCGCCAGCAGAGGAGGACGAATCCGCCGACTCCCCAGCAGCCTCGTCCACAGCGCTGCCGTTCTCTCTCACTCTCCTTCCTCCCTCCGTCCACCCACCCCCTCCCCTGACCAGGCGTGGGGGCTACCAGCGCCAGCAGAGGAGGACGAGTCAGCCGACTCACCAGCAGCCACTGCTGCTGCTGCTGCTGCCACTCACTCTCCTTCCCCGTCTTCCCCCCCCCCCTCTCACACCCCCCTTCCCCTCCCACCCACCAGGCATGGGGCCTGCCAGCGCCAGCAGAGGAGGACGAATCCGCCGACTCACCAGCAGCCTCGTCCACCGCTCTGCGCAACACGGCTGCCGTCTCCGTCCCCTTCTCCCCCTGCCCTCGCCCCTCCGCCTCCAACCCCACTACCGCCACCGCTGCTGGTTCTGCCGCAGCTGGTTCTGCCGCTGCTGGCGCTGCTGCTGGTGCTGCTGGGGGAGCGGCTATGTCTGGTTACCCCCCTCCCTCTGGCCGGGGACCCCCCATTCCCTCCCCACACGCCGCTGCTGTTGCCTCCCCTCACGGCCTACCTTCTGGCCGGCCCCCGATTCCCTCGGCGGCAAGTGCGGAAGGCCCCTGCCCGGCCCTAAGTGACGGTGCTGCTGCTGCTGGCGGTGCTGGTGCTGGCTCTCCTGCCCAGGGAGGAGCAGCAGGGGCAGCAGGGGGGGTGTTGGAGTCGTCTCCTGGGTCGCGGTCAGGCAGGATGCGGCCGGTCAACAGCGGGCTCAAGAAAGGGGTCAGTGCCTGTGCCTCTCACCCTAAAACCCCCTCCCTTTCCCTCTCTCCATGCCCCTTCCCCCCCCCAAACCCCCCCCCCCCCTCCCCCCCCTCCCCCCTCCCTCCCTTATGCTCCATTGCCTTCTCTCTCCAGCATCCCTCCCCCCCCGTCCCTTCTTTTATCTTGTTTCCTTTCTTTTGGGTTGTTGGGTGAACCCAGAAGGCCCTCCCCTCTGCCCCTCCTTTCCCATGCCTCGGATGTTCTCCCTCCCCCCCCCCCCCACAACTCCCCTCCCCCAAGTTATCCTTCTCTGAGGGCTTGTCTGCGAACACGTTGGCAGCTTGTGATGCGCCTCAGAAATGGTCTCCCCTGGTTTTTGAGAATTCTCAAAAACCAGCTCGCCTCAGAAATGGTCTCCCCCATCCTCCTCCGTTCCTTCTCTCAGCCTCTCCTCTCCGCCCCTTCCCATGTTTCCCTCCACTCCCCTCCCCCTCCCCCTCCCCCTCCCCCTCCCCCTCCTCCTCCCCCCAGGCGTCCTTCTCAGAGGGTTCGTTTGACAACGCGCTGGCAGGCAAGCGTGTGCTGATTGCTGAAGACACGGCTCTGCTGAGGAAGGTGAGGCACTGTTGGGGCGAATGAACGAAGCTCAGTGCTGAGAAAGGTGAGGCGGGGAGGAAGTGATGATGATGAGAGTAAAAGGTGAGGTGGGTAACATGCTGGCAGGCAAGCGTGTGCCGATTGCTGAAGACACGGCTCTGCTGCGGAAGGTGAGGTGGTGGGAAATAGCATTGGCAAGCAAGGTGGAAACGTGGTGGGCAATGTGCTACTGGGTAACGCCCTTGCATGGCAGGCCAGCGGGTGCTGATTGCTGAAGACACGGCTCTGCTGCGCAAGGTGAGGCGCTGGTGGGGCGAATAAATCTCTGAGCTGAGAAAGGTGGATGGTGAGGAGGAGGCAGTGGGAGTTAGTGTCTTGATGTGGTTAACGATGTGTCTTGATGTGGTTTTGATGTAGCAGATGGGTGGGGTAGGTAACGAGCTTGTGGGCAGTCGATTTTTGAGTCGACTCAAAAGTCAAAGTCAGGTAGGTAACGAGCTTGTGGGCAAGCGAGTGCTGATTGCTGAAGTCGTTTTTGAGGCGCCTCAAAAGCGACCTCAATGCAGGCAAGCGGGTGCTGATTGCTGAAGACACGGCCCTGCTGCGCAAGGTGAGGTGGTGAGAAGTGGCGTGATATTGTGAGACGGCGGGAAGGAAGGAGTGTGGCGATGAGGGAGGTGAGACGCCTCAAAACCAAAGTGAGATGGTGGGAAATCACATTGGCAAGCAGTGTCGTAACATGGTGGACAACGTGTTTGGGGACAAGTGGGGGGGTAGAAAGTGCGGCGCCTCAATGCAAGTGGGGGGGTAGAAAGTGCGGCGCCTCAATGCAAGTGGGGGGGTAGAAAGTGCGGCGCCTCAATGCAAGTGGGGGGGTAGAAAGTGCGTTGCGTTGGCAGGGAAGGGAAGCGGGTGCTGGCTGCTGCTGAAGTGACTTTTGAGTCGATTCAAAAGTCACCTCGTTACAATGGCACTTGGCAGGGAAGCGGGTGCTGGCTGCTGAAGTCACACTGTGCTGCGCAAGGTGAGGCGGCGGGAAGTGGCATGATATTGTGGATGGTTATAAGTTAATGGCCGGCCTCCCCCTTCCCACCCAGCCAGGTGGCCATAATTCGCATGAAAAGCCGGGCTGTGAGATGGAGGTGGTGTGTGACAGGCAGCAGCAGCAGCAGCAGCAGGCCAATCCACTCCTGCTACCTCTTCCCATTCACTCCCCTCCCTCCCTCCCTGCCGTTCCACTCCTCCATTCCCCTCTCCCGGTCCCCCCTCCACCCCACCAGGTTGCCATAATTCGAATGCAGAAGCTGGGCTGTGAGGTGGAGGCGGTGTGTGACGGGCAGCAAGCAGTGGATGCGGTGTTGGCCACCTACGCCAGCAACACGGGGCGGTTCGATGCGGTGCTCATGGATTGCCAGGTGCATGTGCTGCTGATGGTGTTTAAGCATGCATGTGCGTCAGTGAGAATGCGTGCGTGTGGGTGTGCGTGTGTGACCGAGAGTGTGAGCAGGCGGTCGATGCAGTGTTGGCCACCTACGCCAGCAACACAGGGCGGTTCGATGCGGTGCTCATGGATTGCCAGGTGAGTGAGCTTGCTGATTTCCTTACGGTATGTATGTGCGTGCATGCATGTGTGGATGAGGCGGTGTGTGACGGGCAGCAAGCAGTGGATGCGGTGCTGACCACATACGCCAGCAATGCGAGGCGGTTCAATTCGGTGCTGATGGATTGCCAGGTGAGCTTGTGCTGCTGGTGGCCTGTAGACATGCGTGGGCATTTAGGCGTGTGAGTGTGAGTGTGTGGTTCTCGTCTAACCCGCTCGTGCCCCCTTTTCCCTACCTCCCCTCCTCCCCTCGTCCTCTTGCTTCCCTCCCTCCTTCCTCCCTCCTTCCTCCCTCTCCCTACCACTCCGCTCCCCTTTCTCCCCTCACAGATGCCGGTGCTAGACGGATACGGAGCAACGGCAGCCATCAGAGCAGGGGATGCGGGGACGCCTTTCCACACACCCATAGTGGCCCTCACAGCCCACGCCATGACCAGCGACCACCGCAAATGCCTCCTCCCCTTCCCTCCCTCTTGCCCTCTCTTCTCTTCTTCCCTTCCTCCCTTCCCCTCTCACAGATGCCGGTGCTGGACGGGTACGGGGCCACAGCAGCCATCAGAGCAGGGGAGGCGGGGACGCCTTTCCACACACCCATAGTGGCCCTCACAGCCCACGCCATGACCAGCGACCACCGCAAATGCCTCCTCCCCTTCCCTCCCTCTTGCCCTCTCTTCTCTTCTTCCCTTCCTCCCTTCCCCTCTCACAGATGCCGGTGCTGGACGGGTACGGGGCCACAGCAGCCATCAGAGCAGGGGAGGCGGGGACGCCTTTCCACACGCCCATAGTGGCCCCCACAGCCCACGCCATGACCAGCGACCACCGCAAATGCCTCCTCCCCTTCCCTCCCTCTTGCCCTCTCTTCTCTTCTTCCCTTCCTCCCTTCCCCCCTCACAGATGCCGGTGCTGGACGGGTACGGGGCCACAGCAGCCATCAGAGCAGGGGAGGCGGGGACGCCTTTCCACACGCCCATAGTGGCCCTCACAGCCCACGCCATGACCAGCGACCACCGCAAATGCCTTGACGCAGGCATGGATGCTTACCTCACGAAGCCTATTGATCCTGCTCTCATGTCCCGCACACTCCTAGGCCTCATGGCAAAGCACCCTGTCGCTGCTGCTGCTCCTCCTCGTCCTGCTACTGCTGACTCCTGAATCCCTGGGTGCACGCACCCCACACGCCCATAGTGGCTCTCACAGCCCACGCCATGACCAGCGACCACCGCAAATGCCTTGACGCAGGCATGGATGCTTACCTTACAAAGCCCATCGACCCTGCGCTCATGTCCCGCACGCTGCTAGGCCTCATGGCAAAACACCCTGTAGCTGCTGCCCCTCCTCCTGCTGCTGACTCTTGAGTGCCTGGGAGCAATCACTTTTTACACGTCATGACCAGCGACCACCGCAAGTGCCTCGACGCAGGCATGGATGCTTATCTCTCCAAGCCTATTGACCCTGCTCTCATGTCCCGCACCCTGCTGGGCCTCATGGCGAAACACCCTGTAGCTGCTGCTGCTGCTGCTGCTGCTCCTCCCCGTGCTGCGGCTGACTGCTGAGTGCCTGGGAGCAGGCAGGCATGTGGGTGTGCATGAGGCATGTCCGTCTGGCCAGTGGGCCACTTCATCTCCTCACCACCTGTATCATATGGTACCGGTATGTCTCTTGCTCTACCCGCCAGCTTGCTTGCTTTTCTCGCTTCTTCAATGCACCAAGACTAGATAATCACGCGATCAAGTATTGATGTGTTGTGTTGTCTGAATGGACTAGACCTCCAGAAGCCTATTATTTTCTATTTGTTCTTCCTGTTAAATACCTTCCATTCTCTAGGCGCTTCAATAGGGGAGCACAGTTTTAAGTCCTGCGTCAGTTCAGCTCCGCCCGGATTGAACCGGGCCTAATGTTTGTTTACCATCTCGACAAGAATCGAGCAGCTGGGTGTATATCTGTTGTTAAAAAAAAAAAAAAAGGCTCAGCTATGTTCGTTCTAACCCTGTGCTCAGGCGTCCGTGGTGTTTTGTGAAGTCTTAAATCTAGCACCCATGCCTCCCGCCCAGCAGTGCACTATTGGGTAGTTCGTTCTAACCCTGTGCACTATTGGGTAGTTCGTTCTAACCCTGTGCACTATTGGGTAGTTCGTTCTATCCCTGTGCACTATTGGGTAGTTCGTTCTAACCCTGTGCACTATTGGGTAGTTCCTTCTTCAGTGCACTATTGGGTAGTTAGTTCTAACCCTGTGCACTATTGGGTAGTTCGTTCTAACCCTGTGCACTATTGGGTAGTTCGTTCTAACCCTGTGCACTGTTAGGTAGTTTAGTCAGCAATTGTTTCTCTGTGTGCGTTCCATTATCCATAGCAATACAAAATGACTTCTGAGTAGACTCAAAAGTCTTTCCTCCTTGCTATGCACTACTGGGTACCTAGAATGATAAATAAAAGTTTCTTCTAGTGCACAACTTAGCAATGCAAGTCTGGGGGCATCTAGCATCACTGGGTTTATTTATATATTCTTATAAATAACAAGCATGGGTTCGTCATACGACGTGTACATAGAAACAATGTACACTATCACTTGACTTGCAAGTGCAATCCAAGGCAGGAACATGCAAAATATAACCTTTCTCTTTGCAAAATTGAGCACCAATTTCCTTCAAAAATGGTTGCTGCTGCTTGCAGCAGCAAACTTATTGTGATTGCTTGGATACCGTATCAGCTGGCCAAACGTGTAGACCCCCTTGTGTTAGCTCGGCAGGAGTCAATATCCAAAGAGCCTCAGAAACAGACTTTTATTGTGTTCGAGGGGATATCAACTGCCCGAAAATGTATACCCCCTCTGGCTCCTCCCTGTCACCTTCCTTCTCTCTCCCATCCTCACCCTTGGAACCACGCTCTGCCTGCACGCCTTGGCTGCTTTTGCCCTGTAGCGTGGTCCTGCCCGGCCCAAAAGTAGCGACCTCACGGCTTCCTTGAAGAATGGGTGTGCCAGCCCCACCGGGGAAAGGATTGGCTGTAGCGGCTGCCATTCCCCTGCCTGCAGTTTCCACCTCTGTGCCAGCTCCAGCCGGCTGTAGCACAGCTGTCCCTGGCCCAAGGCCAGCCAAAGCAGCAGCTGAAAAATGACTGGCTGTAGCAGCTGCCGTCCGGCTGCCTGCCATTTCTCCCACAGTGCCAGCCCCTGCTGCTTCTCTCTTAAGCCCAGCCCAAGCAGCAGCTGAAACAGGGACGGCTGTAGCAGCTGCCATTCTCTCCCCTGCCATATCTCCCCCTGTGCCAGCCCCAGCTGGCTGTAGCGCAGCTGCTTGCCGTCCAAGGCCGGCCCAAGCAGCAGCCGAAAACGGGCCGGCTGTAGCGGCTGCTACGCCTCCCGCAGTATCAGCCCCAGCTGGCTGTTGTGCAGCTCTTCGTTGCTCCAGCCCAGCCCAGGCAGCAGCAGCTGAGAAAGGACCGGCTGCAGCGGCTGCCATTTCTCCCACAGTGCCAGATCCTGCTGGCTGTAGCGCAGCTACTTGCCTCTCAAGCCCAGCCCACACAGCAGCGTGAGTAAGGGAGAATATCCCTTGCTGGTCTCCCAGCTGCAAGGCCTGAAGCTGCAAGTGAGCGAGGAGAGCTGGTGGGAAAACCTGGTGGCTGGAGTGAAGGGTGGAGTGAGGCAGGGCTTCAGGCAGGTATTGGGTGGAGGTGGGAGGAGGTGAGGGAGCGGAGGCGAGCGGGTATGGTGGAGCAGAGGCGAGTGCAGCAGCATAAGCAGCAGCAGCAGGAGCAGCAGCAGCAGCAGCAGCAGCAGCATGGAGAGAAGGAGCAGCAGCCACTGTTCCTCGTCCCAGCATGTGATCAACAACAAGCCCCTGGGCCCATGCACTGCGGGGCACCACCATGCGACTGCTGTCTGAGGACACTCGCAGCACAGGCAGACTCTCCACAGTCATGCCATTGCCATCATTGTTGCTGTTGTTGTTGCTGCTGTGGTTGCCGCCCGTGGAAACCACTCCTCCTGCCGCTGCTCCGGCCGGACCTGCTCCCACCGAACCTGCTCCGGCCGCTGCTGCTCCAGCCGACCCTGATCGGGCTTTAGCACCTGCGCCTGCTCCGGCCAAAGCTGCTCCCGCCCCGGCAACAGATGGGCTGGGCCGACTTGCTGGATATCCTGCAAGACTCACCGAACCTGCAGGCTCGGGACCGGCGCGATTACCATGCCTGGCCCCAGGCACGCTGGAGGAGGCAGGGAAGAGGCCTGCTCCATAGGTAGGGGAAGAGCCGGGGGAAAGGGGCGATGGTGTGGCCAGGTTGCTGCGAAGAGGGGGGGCTGTGTGCGCCCGAGAGAGCCCGTGGAAAGGCGGTTCTTCTGTTGCTGGGGATGCGGCTGCGGCAGCCATGATTGAGGAGAGAAGGGAGAAGTTGGGGAGGGCTATGCTTGCTGCTGCTGCTGCTCGGGCCAGCGAGTTAGGACGGGATTGGGGGAGTGGGTGAGGTTCTGTGGCTGAGGCCGTGGTGGTAACAGTAGGAGGAGTTGCAGCAGAACGGGCAACACCGGGAGTAGCAGGAGCAGGAGCAGTAGTGGTAGAGGTGGCAACAGGAGCAGTAGCGCTGGTGCTTCTACGGACCTTGAGGGAACCAAGCACTCTACCGCATGTACTCATGCGGGTAGTGGTTGTAGCCGCAGCAGCAGTTGCTGCTGCCGCTGCTTCTGCACCTGATGCTGCACCTCCTGGTGTTACACCTGTTGGTGCAGCATGCGATGCTGATAGTTTGCATTGCCCACTCAGGCCGCTCCTGCTCCCTTGTGCTGCTGCTGCTCCTTCTGCTCCCAATGCTGCTGCTGCCTCGTACAGACTACGATTCAAAGGCTCGGACCCGGGCCTGTGAGCGTGAGCTTCAGGCCTCCCGAACCTCTCAGTCCAAGCCTCGGGCCAACCAAACCTCCGAGCGTGAGCCTCGGACCCAAACCTCGGACTTAGAGCCGCGGACTCAGGGTGTGCAAAGCGCTGAGCCACTGCTGCCATCCCTCGTTGCCGCATAATGGCTTCAGCTATCGCTGCTGCATCCAAACCAGCAGAACTAGCAGCAGCAGCAGCAGCAGCAGCAGCAGCAGGAGGAGTGGCAGCAGTGTTGGTGGGGACTGCAGCAGTAGCGGTGGTGGTGGCAGTAGTAACGGGCCTGGTGGTGTGAATCTGCATCTCCCTTAACAGCTGCGCATTCATTTCAAAAGTCCAGCGACCTTCGGGAGTGGGAGAAGGCAACCGCCTGATCAAGTCCGAAAGCTGAGACGACGTCTGTCCTGCTCCTTTAGATGCGGCGGGGGCGGCTATGGAGGCGGCTGCAGCGGCTGATGCGGCGGCGAATGCGGCGGCCCTGCTAGTAGCATGATGGGCCGTGGCGGCTGTGGATGAAGTGCGACCGCCCGCGTCGACGCGTCGTCGTTTGGTTGGACTCGCGCGACTCGTCTTCTTTGCTGGGCTTGAGTTGATGTCGATGCATCCTCGGGTCGCCGCGTTCGGCGGCGCCATTTCCGGCGATGATCGTTTTTTCCGGGATTTTAATCTGACCAGGGGATCACACGGTAATTAATGTGAGGAGGGTTTCCGTTGGTACCGGAGTAAAAAATGCACAGCGGGCGTTGATTTTGAACAGCGGTCGCGGAAAACGCATCTCGTTAATGATTCTAAAATCAATCGCGTAGACAATTGTCGTGGCTGCGGGGAAGCTTACGATGTTGATGATGAAACGCGACGCGACGGCTCCGAATGTCGTCGACTGAATTTCACGTCGCCGCCGTCGTCGCGGTCGCCTTCGCTGTCGCGCTCTGCTTTTACTAGTCCCTTGCGGCCGCCAGGCGGCGACGAGTGCGACGGCACGCGAAACTCTCCGGCGAAAGGCTCTTCAAATTGCTGGGAACGGTTCAAAACTAGCACGGCGGCGTTGGTGAGATCACCGGACGGGCGCTGCGGTTGATCGTCGCCGGAGCTACTTCCGCCGCCGCCGCGTCCGTCGTGGTGGAGCATTCTCAACAATTCCGTCTCGATATGGTCGTGCACTAAGTTTCGACGGCGATCTCGACTTGGACTTGGATTTGAGACTAGTTGGGTCGCTCTTGCTGAGCTGGGCTTGCTCATACTACGTGTATCGACAGCTACTAGGAATTATCCACAGCAACAAACACAGCTTGAATCGCGGGTGCAATTGAGCGATGTGAGAAATGAGGATACGCAAATCCGCTGAGAGCTGGAAGATTTTTAGTCTAGGCCTGATTATGTTGCTTCAAACCACGCTGTGCCTAGCAGGACGAGAGGCGTTTGTGTGAAATGCGTGGACTGGAGGTTTGGGTGGGTGGAAGTCGAGATGCCAAACAAGGGCCCTTGATTTCGGGTATTTCGCCCTCAGTCAAGCCAAGATTTTGGACTTTTCCTGGGCACTAATTGTCGAGATGATTAGTTCTGGCAGCAGATTTAAAACCCCTAACTTCTAATGATTTTTGTATTACAGCACCCGAAAATCCTCAAGATGACTTTCTTCCAGTATAGATTGCGATGCAGTTGGCTAAGCGCGTTTGCTAAGCGTGTGGAGGTTCAATTCCCCGAACACACTTACTTTTGTACCGCCCCTAATCGTGGACTGGACGCACTCTAAGCTACCCATTTTTACTCAAAGTGACCCTTGTGAGCTTTGTGTGTGGATATTGGTATTCATATCAATCAAATCCATTGTGACCATTCTGCCGTGATACACTTGTGCTTTGCTGAGAGTTGAGCAGAAACGACTGAGGCCGTGTCGTGTCTGGTGAAGGAATCCGATTGCGATTTGTAGGCATTCGCGCTCCGTAATTTTCGCTCATTAGCTCGCGGCACGGAATTCCAGTCATTCTCCAGACTACGGAAGGGCGTGTGCACAAAAAAGAAGTGCATGATTTTTTAGGTGCAGTACAGTTTGCGGTTTCTTATACAGCTGCTACCGTGTCCCCCCAACATTGGCCAAGTCCCAGGACAATCGCGTGGAACTGGCAACGCTGGGAGCCACGTCACATGGCAGCAGCAGGTGCAGCAGCAGGAGGGTATTGCTTCTCAACCACTGTAACTCTGTCGACTCGGTTGGAACTCACAACAATCAGCTCCCCCTTCAAGCAAACAACATGCAACCTCAAACAGATCAGATTGCGCTCTGTTGAATCGGTCAGTCATTGTCTTTCAACACTCCCCACCCTAATCCATCACGAGCTCGTTGCTCTATTGGTGTCATTGAGGATCAGACACATCAGCTGTTGGAAAAGGCATTGCACGGTCCCTCAGTTCATTCCCATCTTTGTAGCATAAAACTGTAGTTTGAACTGTTTTTCTTGGAACCTTTCGGGCATTCGCCCAGGGTGATATCTCAGGTACTGCATGCCCTTCAGAAGATTGCACCAGGTTCCATTTGCCAGGTGCGCTGCTGTAATGTTTCACAACAGCAAGGAACAGCAGGGAAATGTTTGCAGTGCAGTGATGGAAATGAAACCACACTTTTGCTGAATGCTTTCCTCGATTTCGAGTCTGTTTCGTTCTTCTTCCCCTAAAATAAAAAATCAAGATGCAAGCAAGAAGTCTCGTCAGTTGAGGCTTTGGAAGACACAACCGACATATTACCTGTGGACTACATCGATCAGGACAAGTGGGCCCACATGATGATGAAGGACTTCCTCGTTGCTTAATGCTGCAAGAGGTGTCCTTGTATGTTTCCGTAAAGCCAAGCAGCTTTGCCTGATGGACAAGCTGGCCAAGGTATGCATCGAATCCTGCAGTACAACTGGCTGGTTGGAAGGCAGCAACTGAAAATCGGTTTGGAATACAGTAACTAACGAATTCGAACTGTAGAGAAATTGTACAGTGGGTAGGTACAGTTGAACATTGTACGAATTTATTAACCTGCCCAATCTCGTCCAGAATGCTGTCACGCCGAGTGACGTCATGTGCCAGCCGAATGGTATCGGATTTGGCTGAGATACCACTAGTTGACCAGATTTGTCACGTGCCAATTTGACTCCCGCAAAAGTAGGGCCCACAACAGCGAAACATCCTACCAGGGCTAATTTTTCGTTTTCAGAGATCCGGATGCCTCCGGGGCCCCCATGTAAAAACAAGTAAAATTCCGGATCCGTAGAAAAGCCACCCTTTTTGCTCCGGATTCTATCAAGGAGTGCCCTGACGCAGTGGCGTCTCTTAGAAACACCCTTAGGCCCATCGAGTCATAACTGCTGCAGAATACAAGTGAAGAGCAAACATGAAGGCGGTGTTCGCCAGCACCAATAAAGCAAAAAACTATGGGATGATGACGGGGTCAGGAAGGTGGGTCGCGCCTTCCTGATTCCATCAGTTAGGGTTCTTTTACCTCCGTCAGCCTGGTCAGCCCGTAAAAAAGGTGTCGAGCCTCCCCAACCGTCCAACCTACAATCAAAGTGGGTGTCTGGCGAACGCCCCAATTTGTCCACCAAAACGAACTGCTCGATGGCATATGGAAGCGGGGACGCAACTTCGTCCTCAGGCAAAGTTCTATCCCCAAGCCATGCCATCGCCATGCCGCGTTTTTCAAAGCACAGCGATGGCACAGCCGTCGCATTGCCATTCAGAGGGGGACCTGTGAACAAGCCTGTTGTTTGACAAAGGGGGGCTCAAATACCCCCCATTTTTCCCCTCCCGAATACACCCTCGTAGTGCCCCCCTTGGTCGAAATCGTTCTTTTTGTTTTTTTTTTTTTTGCGCTTGTTACACTGGTTCGTTTTTTGCCCTCGGTCTGGCACTAGTCAGTGGCGCTTCAAATTCGCGCCACTAGATGAGGAAGGTGGGGTTGGGGGTTCCATATGCGGTTGTGAAATTTCCTGTTTTGGGGATTGAAGTTTCGCGGACCGCATTACGCCCAGACCTCTTAGGCGGATTTCGACCCCGGTTCCGGATGCGGTCACCATGCAGATGCCGCCAAAATGTCGTCGTTTTCTGAGTTGCTGGCGAACACCGCCGAAGAAGTACTCGAGATTGCACATATTTATTCAAGTTACTGGAAGGTCCCAAACAATAGAGCAGTTACCCACTATACTGACTCTGAGTGCAAAAAACACAAGTGTATAGTTGTAGTACAGCTGTTTCACAACGCAGATGCTTCTCACTTAAGGACGCAACCTTTCGATTCCGGCACGAAAAAATCTAAGGATCACCGTTAAGTTTCCGGATGTATCTTAGAAATACCCTTTAAGTGTCCAAATGTATTTTTGTTCGTCCCCCTCAAATTCCGGATCTCTAATAAAAACATCCGAAATGTCGACGAAATTCCGGATGTGCACCCTGCTACCGTGAGCCCTGCATCCTACGTATGATCCTCCAGTCCTTCTGTGGTTTCGCAAACGAATGACGCAACTACAAAGTTTAATTTCAGGAGGTGTTACGGGTGCAACGATTCGAGGTAGCGAGGATTGCACTAAGGTGTCAAACGAGTGCAAAATGTGAGCGAAGGCATAAGAAAACATTTATACATGGAACATGCAAATGGTAACGCGGAGCGTGCAAGCTAGCTAGTGCTACACTCGCAACGATGTTCGGGCTAGTCCCAATGCGTAGGCCGACGCGGCCGGGTCAGTAGTGCAAGGTTTGGTGAAACAGTGCGCGCGAAGTCGGCGAAGCCCCGTTAGCAGTAACGGGCGAACAACGGCTGCTGCTGTACGCGATGTTGCAAGGTGCACTAAGGAATGTTGAGAAAATTCCTTACACTACCCCCCACCCCCTCAAGAAGCCCCCTCTGCTACACGAATGCGTGTATATCGCGAAAAACCCCAGCTCCTCAGGTACACTTGCAGGGCAGGGTGGTTTTCGATGTTGGCCAGGGGCACCCAGCTATCCTCAATTGGCGTGCGGTCCTTCCAGTGAACGAAGAATTCAATCCTCCTGATTCCCGCGGGCTGTCAAATCCGATGGCTCAAGATTTTTCCGGGCTCGATGATCGGCTCCGCTGTAGGGCGAGTCATGGATGGCGGGCGGTGAAGGCAGTTGGCTTGTGGTTGGGATGTAGGGGCGAAGCAAGTTTGAGAAAGTTGAAACGAGAATGACTGCACTAAGGAATGAAACTGGTACAAATATGCAACCCTTGAAATGTGTATCCCATATGGGCTACCCCACTAAAGCCTACACAACATTATAATTTGACACACCCCCATAGCCAAAGAGGGGGAGAACAAAGGGTCACA